GGCTGCAGTTATACCCTTCTCCCTGACCTCGGCGGCTGGTCTCGTTTTGCTCTCGCGGTACTTTGATGGCACATGTGATCGTAAGGCGGCTGCAGCGCCGATCAAAGTGGTTAAGGCTAGAAGGGATACGTGTGGAGCTACTGGGCATGCGCATGTCAATACAGCGTAATTTTTGTCACACTGTACAACAATAATTACTATTTTTTTCAATATTGTAAGGGGTAGGTTTAGGGTTGGGGTAGGTGTAGATGTTAATAAAACACAATCTAATAGGTAGAAAATTAATTTAATTGTTCGTTTCCGGTTGGAGCTGTAGTCGGACAAATGTTCTAACCAGAATGCATGGCTTTTGTCAGGCGGCAGCCGATCTTTGCTGCGCCGCATGAAGTCGAACAAGCCTAATGATTTCTGAAGGATCACGTGACACTGAAGACTGGAGTAATTATGCTGAAAATTCAGCTTTGATCACAGCAATGAATTACATTTTAACATAGATTGACATAGATTATCTATATAATATTGGAGATATGGGTAAACCAAACAATTTCATGGCATTTTATGTAGATTGATCATCTGGAGTTGCATGTGTTTTAATCGTGCATAATTCTGATGTTTTTTTTATTTTTTTCATAGGTTTATATGCCAACAAGCAGTTCTTGGAGGAAAGGCTCAGCTCTGCTAATCAACAACATTACATTTGACCGTAGTGAGTACAACAGGCCCGGGGCAAAGCTAGATGAGGAAAACATGGAGTGGCTGCTGAGAGCTTTGGGTTACAGCGTTGAGAAACACACAAATCTCTCTGGAGATGTGCGTAAGACAAAAGTCTGGCTTCATGAAACCAATACTGCCCAGTACAGCTACTAGATTTCTAGTGTGGAAATAGAAATGTGAACACATATTTAAGTCGAATTAGACTCTATATTTTAAACCATGTATTTCTTCTAAACATTGATTATTTATTCACAGGCAATAAATAGAGCAGTCAAGAACTTCTCTAAACGTTATGAACATCGAGACTCGGACAGCACCTTTGTGGTCATCATGTCCCATGGGAACAGATTTGACAATAAAGATGCCATTTTAGGTGTCCATTATCAGAGAAAGAACCCCAATGATTACTTCTTTGTTGAGAACATCTTCTCCCATCTGAACTCAGTCAATTGTCCGGCTCTGATTGATAAACCAAAGGTTATTCTTATTCAGGCCTGCAGAGGAGGGACGACAATAACATGCTGTTATTGCATTGCAATTTCTCATTTCTCTTTGTATTTCCCAGTTTCTTAATTTATTCACCTTGCATGCTGCAATATCAAGTCATTCACAGTATGTGAAAATGTCCCACACATGAATCATTTCTCTGTCCAGGTGATGATGGAGGTGTGTATGTTAGTGACAGTGCGTTTGAATCAGACTCCTGGGTTCACAAGGAGAAAGACTTTGTCTGCTTTATGTCCAGCCTCCCTGGTGAGTCCTCAGAAACACTGATTGCTGAAATGAGATTGATTTGTTGATTACATTTGGCAGTTCATTTTGTTCCCAAGGTCAGGTAGAAGCTATTAAAACAACTTAGTTTTCCTTTTGTTAAATATATTAGTTTGTTTCACACTCTGAAGAAGAAACTGCCATGGTGAACTGCTGAAACTCAAATGTTTGATGAAACATCATCCAAAATGGCAAACGTTTCTTCTTTAATGAGCAAACTTTCAAAGGTTGCTTTGTACTTTATTGTATGACTTGACAATGACTGAATTATCTCCACAGATGTCTGTGCATACAGGAATCCTCACAATGGAAGTTATTTCTTCAATTACATAGTGGATGTGTTCAGTACAAGCGCTCATAAATATGACATTATGGAGTTGTTCAGGAGGGTAAATTGTTTTTCTTTATTCCTGCTATCTCTTTCATTTTATTCACCCCAAGTGCACTGCTCAGTTAAAATGAATGAGTTTGCTTCTTGTCACATTCAAATATGAAATAAAAACTTAAATGTGTATTTTGGATGTTTTCTTTCCCCTAGTCTGAAAGAAGTCATGTTATGGAAGTAAAGTAGCCCAAAATCTCAAAATCTACGAGTGCATGAAAAACAATTAACATATTCATAATAAAACACATTCTAAATATACACACACAGTACAATAAATGCAATTATAAAGTATTATTATTATTATTTTTTTTTTTTAATTAAACTGATCTCATTTAATGACATTTTCTTATATACTACACTATTGCCATAGTATTATATTAACCATAAGTTAACCTTTAAAGATAAGTTTTACCTTATTTTAAATAAGTAATTGTTTTAAAAAGTAGCCTGCTTATATAATTAAAAAAAAGTAAATTTTGCACAAAATAAATTTGATATAAAATTTATTTGAAAATGTAGCCATGTGCAGTAATATTGAAAATTGAGAATGTGACGCATCATGATATTGAGTTGATAATGATAATCGTAACTGAATTGAAACCAGTGAAGATTCACACCCCTATTTTTAAGATGGCAGTACTGACAGAGATTCTGTCAACAAAAAGCATAGAAACTGCAATTTTGGTTAAAATGTAAAGCTGTAAAGATGTATTTGCACAGCAGAAGAATTAATTAGGAAGAAATGTAGATTAAGAATCGTTTTAGAATCGGATCGTGACTCCCAGAATCCGAATCGGATCGGATCGTGAAGTGCCTAAATATTCCCACCCATAGTCTTAAACTAAGAGTAAGGGGGCGGGGTTGAGCTTGTTGCTATGGATGATGTCAGCATACTTACTAACTATGCACACAGTGATTGGCTGATAGTCTCTTTCAGAGATTTATTCATGGAAATATTGTAGAGCACTATATTATGTTCAAATAATATTCACACATGGATATATTTAATATCCATATTCAAATAAAGGTTTAAAAATAAAAATGTTGCCACATTCAAATTTTAAAATGCAGGCTAAGTGTCACTATTTAAACAAATACCGTATATGTTCAGCTAATTGTCAGCCTCTTATATGTGTGCTCCTCGTAAACAATTAGCGGATATGCACATAAACAGCTTTTTAACCCTCAAGCATCCTTAGCAGCCCTTAATTTGTCCTTCGTCGCAGGTGTGATCCCTTTTTTTTTTTATATAAATGTCATATCACTGTCTTTGATAAAATAAAAACGATCAATTTATGCAATTTTTTTAATTTACCTCTAGAAGTACCATATTTTATGCAAAATATGCTTATTTTTATGTTATATTTAATATTTCTTATACTTCAGTAAAAAAGTATAATTTTAACTCAAATTTTCTGAGTTAGTAGCAGCGTTGTATCTGAATCCAGTGTCGAGTCCTAGTTTTTAATCAATTCAGTTTAAGTGTGAGACGTTTATTAATGTCTTTTCATATTAATTTTATGTTGTTACTTTATTTGATTTGATTTTATACTACACACGACATGGAATCGTCTGTACTAAATATCCAAGTCCGAGTTCACCTGAGTCCATCCGAGTCCGTCCAAGTCCAAGTTCATTCACAATTGCAGTCCGAGTCCGAGTCCGAGTCCAAGTCCCAAGTCCAAGTACTACAACTCTGGTTAGTAGAACTTATCCGGGTTTACAGTGCAGTGGCTACTGATCCATCCTTGAGTTTCAACTTTTTAGCAAAACCTGAAACCTGAAACCTCAGAAAGCAGTCTGCTGTAAAATGATTTGAGCAAACATAAATGCATTTAGGTAGATTGGGGGGCACATTCCCCTCAAAAACAAACGTAAACCACTGCATATTCAGCGGCTCAGATGTCGGGAGTAAATGACGACTGCTGTGTTCATTATTACATCAACAACAGAACACCTCAATCGCTTAGGAGTCATTCTTGTCTACATCTGCTCCGGTGTCGAAACAACGGCGGTCTGTGTACATCTCACTCAGTGCGGGTCTATGCTAAAACAGCAGTGTCCGCCAACAGTCGTGGGAGGGGCCTGTGCAAATTGACATCACTTTCTCCAGAATCTGTGAACGGCTTGTTCTGAGACAGTGCTTATGATTTATGGGGATTAAAAAAAAAAAGCACTGGGTGGATTTTTATCATTATAGTGTAGGTGTGTACACACACTGCTAACACACATTTCAGTTCAAATAACTTGTTAAAGTGAATTTTGCATCCGATGTCCCCTTTAATGTCTTTTGTTTCAGTTGATTTCATTTAAGGCTGTGGCTGAAGTCAGTTGTAGTTCTTGTTTCTCTTTTCTTCAGTGATTCTGCTTGTTAACAGCAGCTGTTCATCACTAATGCTCAATCAGCACTTAATTAATCACACAATTATCTCATTAACGTTAACTCTGCATCAGTGTTACTTTAACACTCTTGTAGAGTGGGACCATATATGCTCTGAGCAGTGTTAATTTAACTTATGCCGAGTTCACACTGCACGATTTTCAAAGTCGTCGGATCGCCTTTGTTTTCACACTGCGTGACTATCTGGGGTAGAATTCAGTAGCTGCTGTGTTCACACTGCACGATGGATCGGCGACAGGGGGTTTCACACTGCATGACTTCACAATAGAAAGAATCGCCAACAGCTCTGTCTGGTCCACAAACTAGGTTTCACAACAAAACACACGCGAGAAGTGATAAGGAAATAACGCGAGAACCCGCGTGCGTCAGACCGGAGTTCTCAAGCTAGACTGGAATTGTTTTAAAAAATATATATATATAGCCCGCAAATTGTCTGTGAGCTGATTTCCAGCTACAAGGAGAAAAAGAAAAACAGATTATGCAGGAGGGAGATGCAGGGAACAGGGATTGGGTGTTCTGCAAAGAGAGTTGGAGGTAAATAATTTTGCAGTAACTGTTATGCTGATGTTGTGGCTGGTCAAGCAAATGTTTGTGCTTGTTTCTGTATGATATAATTGTTCATATATCTATAAAAATACTGATATTCTGGTCTATAGCCTAACTCCTCCCCGAACTTCCCTCTGCCCTGTATCTTGGTCTCTCATTGGCTGTAGGTCATCGCCGATGTAGTTTTCAGTCAGAACTCATTGCACACATCGTGATTGTGAATCACCGACAGCTCCAGATATTTAGCATGCCAAATATTTTGCGGGCGTCGACGATTCCCTCAGATCGCGTGTTTGATAATTCACACTGCATGATTGTCACTCGCGTGAACAAGCACCGATTTGCCTCTGATTTCGGGCATTTGTCGGCGATTTCGCAAAACCTGTCGGCGAGTGAAAAATCGGGCTAAAATCGTGCAGTGTGAACTCGGCATAATAAACAGTAAAATGAGAGAAACAGTGATTTCACACTGTCTGACAACAATATCAGAACTAGCAG